CTCCTATCTTCTGCTCCCGCTCCTCCTCCTCCTCCTCCTCTTCGTCCTCCTCCTACTGGGAGTCGGAATGCAGTAGATAGCTAGGAAGGCCTTGTCGGGTCTACCCAGAAGGACGGTCTACGTATGCACCAGGGCTTGCTCCGTCGGTTTCTGAGCTTGCTGACGTTGTCTTTCGCCCGCTGCCAGTTCTGCCGCAGAACGCGTTCAGGTTACCTTGTCGTTGCATGGTATGATAAGCATCCCTTCCGTTTCTCCCATCTTGCGTTCAGGATAGGCTTCCGCCTTCGCCGCCAAGGTCAATCGACTCGACCCTGGATCGTGTTCCTTTGTTGCTTGGGGCATAATGGGCATTATAGCCCCCGCCCCCCCCCCTCCCCCCCTATAACGTAACGCCCCTCCCCCCCAGTGCGCTCCGGGCACTGCCGCCGTGCGCGCGGCGGGGGGGAGGCGTTGCATTATACCCCCCCCCCGGCCCCCCCCCCTCAGCCCCCCTATGATCCCACTGTCGCCGAACATGAAGAAAACGCGCTCCGAGGAGGAGGAGGAGGAGGAGGAGGAGAGGAGGAGGAGGGAGAGGAGGAGGAGGAGGAGAAGGAGGAGGAGGAGAGACAGAGGGAGGGAGGAGAGGGAGGAGGAGGAGTTGTGGAGGAGGAGGAGAGAGGAGAGAGGAGGAGGAGGAGGAGGAGGAGGAGGAGGAGGAGGAGGGAGGAGGAGGAGGAGGAGGAGGAGGAGGAGGAGGAGGAGGTGGAGGAGGAGGAAGGAGGAGGAGGAGGCGAGGAGGAGGAGGTGGAGGAGGAGGAGGAGGAGGAGGAGGAGGAGGAGGAGGAGGAGGGGGAGAGGCCATCCCTCGATCCCCCTCCCTCTCAGAAGCCTCAGGGGGGGTCCCAGGGCGCGCTTTCCAGCGGCAGGCTTCGCGCCTGGAGGCGCGCCTCTCGGGCCCGGGGTCGGCCGCGAGAGAACAGTAGGAGACACCTGGCTTTTCGGCGGCGACGCGAGAAGGAGGACGCCTCTTCGGAAGGCGGCGGGGCTCCTCAGAGGCCCCCGCGCCCTCCGAGAAGCGCTCCGCGCCCTCGGGGGGGGCTTCGAACGCTTCTCAGAAGGCCAGGGGGCTTGTGAGCCATCCGAGGAGGCCTCCTCCTCCTCCTCCTCCTCCTCCACGTCCTCCTCTTCCCCCTCCTCCTCCTTGGAGCCAGAGACCGGCCGCAAAGAATTTGGAGCCAGAGATTGGCACCAGGGGCGAGTTAGCCCAGCGCGCTTGCTTCGGCGTGGTCGCCCGCCACCACCTCGCTTCGACGAGTTACGCGGCGTCGGAGGAATTTCCAGGACTGGTCCTGCCGGGGCCCTCTGGGCCAGGGCCTGCGCAATCTCCAAAAGGGATGCCAGTGCTCGGAGCATTGCCCCTCGGGATGCGGCAAAAGAGGCATTCTTGTCCATCGCATTTTGAACTGCGAAGCAGTCAGCGAGCCCCGTCTTGAAGTTGCCGACCAGGAGTTGCTGTATGAAGTGGGCGAGTCCATCGACAACTGGAGCCCCACTGTTGCCGTCGCCCGTGGGGGGCTGCTGCGTCCAGGAGACGCGTGTCCCACCCCGCGTTCGGAAGGACCCTGGGGAACTGCGTGGATCGGTGGGCCTCCTCCCGGCCCCGACCAGATCCGATGGCGCATTTTTGTTGGCGGCTCGTGCGGCAGACGTGCCATCAGAGAGCCGTGCCGCGCTGCGCGGCCCCTCCCGTGATGTCAAGGATGTGGCGGCCGCCAGTGAGAGATGGGCTGCCCTGTGCATGGCGCCGCTGCCTCAAACGCCGCAGCGCGCGGAAGTCTCGGCCTTCGCGCCGTCGCCGGAGCGGCCGTGTGCCTGGCGGGCCCGTCGTCTATTTTTAGTCAGACGGTGCGAATGCCACCCAGCCTTGCCAAGGATTTTTCCTGAGCAGCAGGTCCCCTATTTCAAGAAGGTCTTTACGGGGCGCGCGCTGCAAGCTCGGCAGGGTGTCGGAGCTAAGCAAATCGTCGGCGTTTTTGAAAGTCAAGGCCCCCGAATCTCTCAGCGACCCCGGACTGGCTGACGCTGTGCTTGGCAATGACTTTGCCGATCGTGGCGCGAAGCAGGCTTCGTTGCTTCACCTGCGCGACGACCAGCTGTAAGAGACAACCCAATAAGCAAGTGCAGTGGGTTTCAGCATTTCGTCGGGTAGCTATGAAGGGTGCTACTTCCTGTCTCTTCCTTGAACGACGAAGGAGAGGTCGAGTGCAGGCCTGTTCCAAAACCTGCCCGTGCGCGCGAGGCCAAGCTGCTGTGCTCCTCTGGGTGGACAGCTGGCTGTTGGCGGTGCTCCTGGTGCTGCCGAGCCACGCGCCGCGCTGATTTTATTCGGGGCGTGAAAGCGACCACAGCCACTGCTTTTCTTTTGTTGACGCCTTCCAGCCCGCAGCAACAAAGCAGTGGTTGTGGTCATTTTCGTTGAGTTTGGCACCAGGGAAATGACCACAACCACTGCCTCTTTTTCGGCCGGCTGGAAGGCGGCGCAAACAAGAAGCAGTGGCTGTGGTCATTTTCCCGTCCCGCATTTTAAGGCCACTGCAGTGGGGGAGGCGCATCGTCTTCCCCGGCGGCGGTGTATAGGACAGGTCTCGGCTGCTTATCTGCGCGCATGCTGCATTTGCTTCCACGGACTCACCCCTCCCATCCAACCTCTGCCTGAGTGCGGTATGAGGCGAGTCGCGATGCGAGGCATCGGTGGCATCTGCGAGTGCGGCATGATGCGAGTTCTACGTGGCATGCGCCCGCAAAGTGATGAAGATGCGGTGGGGTCCTGGACGATGTCAGCGCTCATCCTGATGAAGCTTTCCTACCCTCGCAACAGCCTGACCCGAGCGCTGCTACGGACGCGTTTAGTTGTCCGAGAAACAGTCTGGAGGCTGGGTGCTGCTGCTCGCGCTTTTGGCAGCTCGTCGTCTCAGCGCGGACCTTCCTCATGGCCTGCTCTGCCCGTGGAGGGCGGGCGAGGCGCCGTGCCCGCGGGGGGCGCCGCCGCCGCTTCTGGCGCTCTCGAGGAGGCTGCCTACGTACCCTGCCCTGGCTAAGTCGTCGCAAGAGAGAGGGGGAGGCCCTCGGGTTCGGGCCTCGCCCCAGCTCGCCCGCTTGCTGTATGGGCACAAGGTCTTGGCATCGCTAGGACGTGTGCGTTTTTTCCTCGGCGAGGACCCTCGAGGAGCATCCTTGATCATTTGGCGAAAAACCACGCACGAAACCGAAAAAAGCACAGGGAATGGACGTCCGAGCGATGGCCAGGGGTGGGCGAGGCACTGGGCCCGCGGGAGGCGCCCGCACCGTCCTGGTGGCCCTCGAGGCGCTCGAGAGGCCAGGGAGGATCCCGGACAGGCGCCGAGACTCCTTGTCGAATCTTTTCGCGTCGAGGACGAAGAGCGCCCGGCGGCGCCCGGGTCGCGTGTCCTCGGAGCCCAAACGAGAGAGATTCGGATTCGCATTCATTGCTTCAATGGGGAAGCCCTGCCTGCGACCTTTTTTCGGGCCGGGCGGGACTTCACTTTCACCTGGTGCCCCTCTTTCTCTCATCCCCCCGCCTTTTTTGTCGCCCTGCCTGGCGGTGCCCTCGACGCGCAGCCAGCCCTGGACCTCGGGACGAGGGGTTCCGCTAGTGCAAGGGCGACTTTCTGTCTGTGAACTTTCGGTCCCAATCCAGGTGTAGGTAGCTTGGCCCCCTGGCTTCGCGTGCCTGCGGGGGGCCACCCCGCCTTGGGTCTCTAGGACGGGTCTCGCTGTTGGCGCCCCGTCACGCCCTCGGCTGCGCCCTGGCGAGCTTTGTTTCCACAGGCTGGGCCTCTGTCTCCAGGCCGTCGAGGCTGCTGGCTCGTCTGACGGCTGGGGCCGCGGAACGCAGTGACGAGCGGGGCAGACGCCTGCGAACGCCGCCACTGGCGCCTTCGGTGGAGCTCCCAATGGGGCCACGCAGCGTTGCACTGTGCGGAGGAGGCGCATGCGAACGCCGCCACTGGGACCCTGGTGGAGCTTCCCATGGGGCCACGAGGCGCTGCACTGGGTTGGTGAGACGCATGCGGACACCGCCATTGGGGCCTTCGGCGGAGCTTCCTATGGGGCCACGCAGCGCTGTACTGGGTGGGGACGTCGCATGCGAACACCGCCACTGGTGCCTCCAGTGGAACCCCTATGGGGCCACGAAGCGCTGTATTGGGCGGGGGAAACGCATGCGAACGCCCCCACTGGGGCCTTCGTTGGAGCTCCATATGGGGACACGCAGTGCTGCATTGAGTAGGGAAGACGCATGAAATCGCCGCCATTGAGGCCTTCGGTGGGGCTCCCTGTGGGGCCAGGGAGCGATGTACTGGGTGGGGGAAAGCCATGCGAACGCCGCCTCTGGGGCCTTCGGTGGAGCGGTGGAGCTTCTTATGGGGCCACGGAGCGCTGTGATGGGCGGGGCAAACGCATGCGAATGCCGCCACTGCTGATGCCGTCGGTGGAGCTCCATATGGGGCCACGAAGCGCTGTGATGGGCGGGGGAAGCGCCTGCGAACACCGCCACTGGCTCCTTTGCTGGAGCTCCCCATGGGGCCAGGAAGCGTTGCACAAGGTAAGGGAGCCGCATGCAGACACCGCCAGTGGGGGGCCACGCAGCGCTGTACTGGGTGGGGGAAGCGCGTGCGAACACCGCCACTGGCGCCTTCGGTGGAATTTCCTGTGGGACCACGAAACGTGTGAGGGGCGTGCCAAATGGGACGGGGAGCAGCATGCGAACCATGCCACTTGGGGCCTTCGGTGGAGCTTCCGATGGGGCCACGAAACGTGTGAGGGGTGTGCCAGGGCGGGGGGGGGGCGGCATGCGAACTATGCCGCTGGGGCCTTCGGTGGAGCTCCTTATGGGGCCACGAAGCGTGTGAGGGGTGTGCCAGAATGGAGGGGGGCGGCCTGCGAACCATACCACTGGGGCCTTCGGTGGAGCTCCCTATGGGGCCACGCCAGAGTGGAGGGGGGCGGCATGCGAACTATGCCGCTGCGGCCTTCGGTGGAACTCAAAGTGGCAAAGTGGAGGGGAGCGGCGTGCGAACCATGCCATTGGGGCCTTCGGTGGAGCTCCCGATGGGGCGACGAAGCGGGAGAGGTGTGTGTGTGCCAAAATGGAGAGCTGTGACGGGAGGAGGCAGAAGCGGGAGCAGGAGGCGAGGAGAGGAGAGGAAACGCGGGGCACCGTCTGTTCAAGACGAGGACCCAACACCACATAATGGTTTGGACAACATTTCCCCCTCCTCCTCCTCCTGCTTCTTCTCCTCCTGCTCCTCCTCCTCCTTCTCATATCCCCCTGAAGACGTGTACCCGCGCAGAGGGTAATGGACGTCATTCTTGGAGTATAGCTCAGTCCTAGAGCACTTCAGCAGTCTTGACACAGACACCAGCTCCAGAGGGGCCCGTCCATTGTCATTTGCTCCTCCACCCGCCGGCTCCACCGGGCCGGCTGGGAACACGCCGCAGGAGACGCCAGACTATGCTGCGCGTACGTGCCAGGGAAGCCGGAGCCGGTGCTGATGGCCGGCAGCCCCAGCGACCGGATGCTGAAGCTGTGCCACCTGAACCTGATCGAGTGGTGCACCTTCAAGCAGGCCGAGGGGCACCGCTAGGGGATGACGGGCTCAGGTTTTTCATCTCACAGTTTTCGGGAGTTCTCGACAGTTTCCGAAACCTGAGGTGCTCTCTATCAGTTGCTCCTCGTCGAGGGCGTTCTGGGGTGCCCAAATCGTTCCGAAAGGCCGCTGGATGCCCGAGTTATGACCCAGAAGCCAGGGAGCGGAATGTCAGGGCAACTTCAGGAGGGATCAGGTTTAGGGGGAACGTACCGACCCTTAATCCCTCATCGCCCATTCATCGCCGATAGGTGTGTGACAGCTTCCCCCGCCAAGGAACGTTCGGTTTGGCCATTTAGGGTTTGCCGATTCCAGGTCGATGTTTCTCCGAGCCAGTCCCCCCTCCTAGCTTTCCCACTCAAAGCTGGACGCTAGAAGCTGCACGATGGGACGGCGTGCACGCCGGTCCAGGGCGGACGACGGGCCAGTCTAGAGATTTGTAGTGGTGGTGTTGTTGTCGGGGGTGGACAGAGCCCCCACCCTGACATGTCGGTTAGGGAATTGTCCGTTTTCTGTTCTCGAGAGGGCGCCGCGGCCGTCATTTTCCAGGCTTGTGCCCACCAGGTTTGGGCCTTAATTAGGTCGTTCTCACTAAACCACGTGCTACTAAAGGGGGTTCTGTCCATCCCCGATGTTCACAGTTCCAGCGCTCAGCCTCCACGGGTGCACCGTGTGTATGCTCCTCTCCCCGGAGACTGGTGTTGGCCGGGGGCTGCCCCGTCCCTCATGCTTCCCACGCAGGATTTCAGAAGTTCCTTTCCCAATGTGAAGATGATGAGGAGGGAAGAGTCAAGACTGGGTAGTGAGCAGGGGGGAAGAGTCAAGACTGAGTCTTTTCCCAATGTGAAGATGATGATGGGGGAGGGCGAGAACGAGAAGGAAGAGGCGGAGGGACGAGTCAGGACTGGGTAGGGAGCAGCCTTCTCTTCCCCTCCCGCTCGCTCCCGCTCGCCCCGCTTCCTCCCCGCGCTCCTTCGCCCTCCCTGTTCCCCTGCCCCCGCCTCGTCCCCCCCCCTTCGGCCCCAGACCGGCTCCAACCCCCCTGTGCTCCGTGCTGGGGCCTTCTGGCACAGGTACCTGTCGTGTATATATACATATATATACATGAATGCATGTATATGTATACATATATGTATAAATGGTATTTTGGATTCCCAGATTCTTCTCCGCTTGGGCACCTTCTTATTTTAAGAGGCGAGCGTTTTTCTCCCTCCGAGGGGGCGGGCGGAAACTCAAGCTACCTTCGACGCCTGCCTACTTCATGTTTCTACCCACCTCTTCCGAACGACGGGTGTCCGGTGGTTTCGCGAGGGGCTCGGGTTCTCGGCCGGTCCCCGCTGCCATGGGATGGCATGCCAGTGGCAATGAGACTCGGCAGTGTCACGCTTGCGCCGTCGGCAGCTCAGGGTCGGGTCCCCTCCCTTCCCCTCCTCCCCGTCCCCTGCAGGCCGACGACACAGACGCCTCCGCGCCCAGCCAGCCGGTTCTGGAGGAGAAGTTCAGCCGGAAGGTGCTGGGGTGGAGCCTCGCAGGGGCCGGGCGGATGCTCGGTCTCCTGTCGCCCAGAGGTCCCGGGACCCTGGCGGTGGGATGGAGCCCCCGGCCAGGGTGACACAAGCTCTCCTCGGATGGGGGCCGCAAAGCTTGCTCTTCTCTCCACTTTGCGGAGGCCGTCCCTCAATGGATCCTCAGGCAGGCAAGAGCCAAAAGGAGGAGAGGAGGAGGAGGAGGAGGAAGACGCGGGCCCCCCTGCCCCCCTCCCCCTCCCCAGCACCCTTTCGAGCCTCCGAGACAGCTGAAATGCAAACACATCGAATCACCCCCCAGCCCTCCCGCCTTGGAGCACGACCAGGGCGAAAACCTGCGGCGTGGGGGGCGCGAGCCGCCGCCCCTCTCTTCCTCCTCCTCCTCCTCGTACTACTACTACTACTACTACTACTACTACTACTACTACTACTACTACTACTACTACTACTACTACTACTACTACTACTACGACTACTACTACTACTACTACTACTACTACTACTACTACTACTTACTACTACTAGCTACTACTACGACTACTACTACTACTACTACTACTACTACTACTACTACTAGTAACTAATAGTACTACTACTACTAATACTACTACGTACTACTACGACTACTACCACCACCACCACCACCACCACCACCACCACCACCACACCACCAACACCACCACACCACCACGACACCACCACCACCACCCAAACAACCACCACACACCACTACTATACTGAATACTACTCATGCTGCTTACTGCGTACTACTACTTACTACGCTTCAACCTTACAGGGCTACAACAACAACAAACTACGACTACTACTATGCTACTAGTACTACGGCTGTCTATTACTACTACTTCTTTTAATTCGACTACTACTGCTATACTACTATACTTTCTTTACTTCTTACTACACCACCAACACACCACCACCACTACTACTACTACTAATGCTACTACTACTACTGACTACTACTACTACTAATACTACTACTACTCAACTACTACTACTACTATACGACCACCAGCCACCGCCACCACCACCACCACCACTACTACTACTACTACTACTACTACTACTACTACTACTACGCCTACTATCACTATTACTACTACTACTATTACTACTACTACTACAACTAAGAATACTAGGGGTAGTAACAGTACTACTACTACCACTCCTTTTACGACGGCTACTACTACTACGACTCCTCCTCCTCCTTCTCCTACTCCTACTACTCCTACTTCTACTCCTACCTCTACTCCTAGTCCTGCTCCTACTCCTACTCCTACTCCTACCCCTACTCATACTCCTCCTCCTCGTACAGCTACTACTTCTTCTTCTTCTTTACTACTACTACTACTACTACTACTGCTACTACTACTAACATTAGTACTCGCACTAGCATTATTATCATTATTATTATTATTACTACTACTACTAGTACTACGGCTACTACCAGTAATTATACTGTTACTACTACTACTACGACGACGACTACCACCACTACTACCACTACTACTACTCCCACTCCTATCCTTATTCCTTATTAGAATATACTCCTACTCCCCCCTCAGGCCGGCAGATAGCGGGCGCATCCGGGTGGTCCCATCCTAACCTGTAAAAAACAATACCAAAATCAACATTTTTCTTATTTTTTCCTCTCGACATGGACGTCCTGTCGTCCACGGCGATAATCCATTGCAAAAAATACCACAAAGAGCACACGCGCGCGTTCATGTCAGAATCCTACCGAACACCGTGTGTTTGCAAGCATTTCAACATAAAAACATCAAAAACCCAATGCTTTTTCACAAAAATTCTACAAATTTCCTGCCCGGGCTCTCTTGCTGAAATCATAGGAAAACCATAGGAATCTTAAGAATTCGGTCAAATCCAGCGATTTCACGTCATCGCGCGGTGCACTCGCGATGCTCTGTCATGCACCCAGGCCGCGAATCCTGTGCAAAAAATACCACAAAGAGCACACTCGCGCGTTCATGTCAGAATCCTACCGAACACCGTGTTTTTGCAAGCATTTCAACATGAAAACATCAAAATCCCAATGCTTTTTCACAAAAATGCTTTGGGGTGTCCTGTCAGACCGTCGGGCTTCCTCCGGCCACCTCTGGCTTCCTGCGGTGTACCGGGCCATTCTCGACTCGTCTGGCAATGCGTGCGCGACATTCAACACGCGCTCGCCAGTTCCCGTCGGCAACCGCCATCGCGGCCGCATCAGCTGTACCAAACCGGCTGGCCGGTGTGACTTCGGCCCCCAGTTGTACCAGCTTTGCTTCTTATGTTGTGGGAGGGCGGGTGGGACTGGGCATGCCATGCTTGACTCGCTCGAGCTGGCTAGCTTGACTCCTACTCCTACTCCTACTCCTACTCCTACTTCTACTCCTACTCCTACTCCTACTCCTACTCCTACTACTACTACTACTACTACTACTACTACTACTACTACTACTACTACTACTACTACTACTACTACTACTACGACTACGACTACGACTACGAATACGACTACGACTACGACGACGACTACTACTACTACTACTACTACTACGACTACTACTACTATAATACTTATATACTACGAATACTACTCTACGCCGACGACGACGGGACCGACGACGACGACGACGACGACGGACGACGCGACGACGACGACACGACGAACGACGACTACTACTTACTTACGAATTACTACTACTACTATTCCGCCTGACGACTACGACTACTACTCTACTACAACAACAATTACTAAACTATTACTATTACTACTACTACTACTACTACTACTTCTACTACTACTACTACTACTACTACTAGTAGTAGTAGTAGTAGTACTACTACTACTACTACTACTACTAGTGCTAGATCTAGTACTAGCACTATTACTACACACCCAGGCCGGAAGTTGTTTTCTCTTGCACGGGAACGCATGGATCAATTTTGATCCAATTACGTGTGTGCGAACCGCGTGGATCCAATGTCCGTGTCTTCTGGATCATTTTTTTTGCCGTGGAAGCTTCGTGGGTCCAATTCTTCTCCTGGAATAAACTTATGATAATAACTACTACAAGGGACCCAAGGGGAAATGGACCCACGGAGCCTTGGACCTGCAGCCCAAGCTATGATTCTACGGGGGAAGGGTTTCCCTCCCATAACACGTCGTTGCTCGAGCGCCACAGCTTCCCCAGCCAACTCCCGCAGCCTCCATAACATGTGGGTGCTCGAGCGCCACAGCGGACCTGGCCAACTCCCGCAGCCTCCCATAACATATGCCGCACCCCCAGCTCGACGCGAGCACGATATGATCGCTGCGTCCACATCCGCTGAAGCCAACGACACTTCGCATTTGCCATCTGGGCATCAACAGGAACATCTTTCGGCCTGCTCAAGTAGTAATACCATTAGTACCACAACCACTACAACTACCACTACCACTACCGCTACCACTACCACTATCACTACCACTACCACTACCACTACCAAGACCACTACCACTACCACTACCACTACCACTACCACCACCACTAGTACTAGTACTACTACTACTACTACTACTACTACTACTACTACTACTACTACTACTACTACTACTACTACTACTACTGCTACGACTACTACTACTACTACTACTACTACCACTACTACTACTACTACTACTACTACTACTACTACTACTACTAACAACCCGACTACGACTACGACGACGACGACGACGACGACGACG